CTGAATTTGTGAATAAACTTTTTCAGTAATAGTAAGTTTTTGTTCATCAACGCCAGAAACTACTGACAGACGCAGTCTTCTGAGATGGTACATTTGCAAGTAAAGCTTGAAGTTTTTGTGTCCATTCTAAAAACTCCACCATTGATTAAATATATCCAAGGCATTCTAAACTGAATATGCATGACGCTACCTTTTTGAAAATTCAGTAAATTTGATACTCTCATAGTCGAAAACTTTTAACAAAATTAGGATCATTCAGGATTTGACATTGTACGAGTTGAGTTCCCATCACACTGCTGAACTTAAAATGTTCAGCAATTAAATCTCAAAATTTCTTTAGAAGTTAAAAAAGGAAGTTTTTGAATTTGTAGATATTGGTGACATAGTTTCGCTTTCCAGAAACTGAGAAATCATATATCTGCAATTTGCACCTCTAATATGCGTACTACAGCATCCACAGATAAGAAATTTGTGTCCTTCAATGTTTGATATAGAAACAAGTGAGTCCTATCAAACAAATGATATAAAGTGACTTTAAATCCCTAACTGAAATTATAAGGTCAATGTACCACATTTAACGATTAAATCACAAAGTGCGCATTCACAACCGTGACGTGGATCGAATCCGGGGCATTAAAGTCACAAGATGGACGCTTGAACGTTGGACCACGAATTTGGCATCTGACGACTTACATTCCCTGTTTCTATCAGTTCGTGATTAGCACAACTGATGTGAAATGACAGTAACTGCATTATTCTCAACATAACTGAACTCCGGGAATTATTATTATTATTAATGGCTTTATTCAATATTGTATTTTGGTACAATATAGAATTCTTAGCACCAGTCAGAGTTCTTCACTAGTCGGCACATCATTGTTAGCCTGTAAATTCGTTAAAACTTCTGAATTTAGTTTACATCAAAGACTGACCTTAGTGAGACAACTACTGAGAACCATGAAACGCTGGACATCTGTTTCTTTCTAGTATGAAATCCAAGGGTTCTAGCAAGGATTCGCGGCCATTTTTTAGAGAAATGTAACACTGAATGATTCCATTGCAAAAGGCTTTTTCTTCCATGCGTATCATTATGATTCTTTGGAGTTCCGACCCTGCACTCATCACTGACGTCAAATAATTCTACTCAAAGTTATAGAACACCCTGTCATTATTCTTTTCTTAATTTCGTCGGCATTTCACGCTAATGTGCTAATAAGTTATTGTAGCTAACGTATATTCAATAATATTGATTAGTATATATTAGGTAAGGGTATGTGTAGAAATGAATGAAAATATCGTTTGCAACCTTGAAAATCACTGACAATGAAAAACTCTCATCTTAGTTTCAAAATGAGTATTATAAAATATACACCCTTCACCCAATACGAGAGTTGTACAAGTATATTCACAATTATTACAATATATGAGTCTACCATTGATTAGTAGCTAACTATTAAATAATTGGCCAGGTAGCTAGTATATATATATATATATATATATATATATATATATATATATATATATATATAGTGACCTAACTCCACCTGGAGTCCCTCCGGGGGCTACTGCCGGTCCCAAACTCGGATAAAGGAGGAGGGTTGGGCATGGTATAGCGACCCCATCCCTTAGAAAACTAACTCGCTAAACAAAACGCTAACCAGAAAAATTATTCAAACATTTTAAACTCTGCCTTGGGAGTCAGAAGGTCTTCATTTAGAAGAGTTATGACGCCTCATGATGAAAGCCGAGTTCCTTCGGTAGTCATGAGACCGATGCCCCGTCTGACAACCAGAGAAACCATTTATTTAGGTACATGGAATACTCGTTCAAAGTGAGAGACCAGTAAAGTCTTGCAAATTGCTGCAGAAATAAGGAGATACAACCTAGAGGTGCTTGGGATCAGTGAAACACATTGGACGCAAGTTGGACAACAACGACTAGCTTCAGGGGAACTTCTGTTATACTCCGGCCATGATGAAGAAAGTGCTCCACATACACGAGGAGTTGCATTGATGCTGTACAAACAAGCACAAAATCCACTTATAGGATGGGAATCTCATGGTCCAGGGATCATCAAAGCCTCCTACAAAACATAGAGAGAGGGCATTTCAATGAACATCATCCAATGCTATGCGCCTACCAACGACTACAATGAAGACGCTAAAGATCAATTCTACAATAGGCTGCAGTCAATCATCGAGAAGTGCCCAACAAAGGACCTGACCATTCTGATGGGAGATTTAAATGCCAAGGTTGGGAGGGACAACACCGGATATGGGACGACACGGACCTGGAGAAAGGAACGAAAATGGTGAAAGATTTGCAAACCTATGTGCCTTCAATAAACTGGTCATAGGCGGCACCATATTCCCACATAAACGCATTCACAAAACCACATGGACTTCACCGAATCACACTACGCAGAACCAAATCGACCATATCTGCCAACAGACTGGAAAGAAGGAATTCTGGTCAAAATACCAAAGAAAGGCGATCTCAGCAACTGGGATAACTACAGAGGCATCACTCTTCTCTCAATACCGGGAAAAGTCCTCAACAGGGTATTGTTAAACAGAATGAAGGACTGTGTAGACGCCCAACTTCGAGACCAACAGGCAGGATTCCGTAAGGATAGATCGTGTACAGACTAAATCGCAACTCTACGGATCATTGTGGAACAATCAACTGAATGGAATTCATCACTCTAAATCAACTTCATTGACTACGAAAAGGCATTTGATAGCGTGGACAGAGCAACATGATGGAAACTTCTTCGACACTACGGCGTGCCTCAGGAGATAGTCAATATCTTACAGAATTCCTACGATGGATTAAACTGAAAAATTGCGCATGGAGGAAAGTTGACCAAATCGTTCGAAGTGAAGACCGGTGTCAGGCAAGGTTTCTTACTCTCACTCTTTCTCCTGGTGATCGACTGGATCATGAAGACATCAACATCTGAAGGGAAACACGGGATACAGTGGACATCTAGGATGCAGCTGGACGATCTAGACTTCGCAGATGATCTGGCCCTTCTACCCCAAACGCAACAACAAATGCAAGAGAAGACGACCTGTGCAGCAGCAGTAGGTCTCAATATACACAAAGGGAAGAGCAGGATTCTCCGATACAACACAGCATGCACCAACCCAATCACAATTGACGGAGAAGATTTGGAAGATGTAAAAACCTTTACATATTTGGGCAGCATCATTAATGAACATGGTGGATTTGATGCAGATGTGAAGGCGCGGATCGGCAAAGCAAGAGCAGTATATTTACAACTGGAGAACATCTGGAACTCAAAACAACTGTCAACCAACACCAAGGTCAGGATTTTCAATACAAATGTCAAAATAGTTCAACTGTATGCGGCAGAAACCTGGAGAACTACGGAAGTCATCATCCAGAAGATACAGGTGTTTATTAACAGTTGTCTACGCAAAATACTTCGGATCCGTTGGTCAGACACTATTAGCAATGACCAACTGTGGAAAAGAACAAACCAGATCCCAGTGGAGGAAGAAGCGCTGGAAGTGGATAGGACACACATTGAGGAAAGAACCCAACTGCGTCACAAGACAAGCCGTCACATGGAATCCTCAAGGCCAAAGGAAAAGAGGAAGACCAAAGAACACATTACGCCGGGAAATGGAGATAGACATGAGAAAAATGAACAAGAATTGGATGGAACTAGGAAAGAAGGCCCGGGACAGAGTGGGTTGCAGAATGCTGGTCGGCGGACTATGCTCCATTAGGAGTATCAGGCGTAAGTAAATTAAGTAATATAGTGATCTGTAATAAAACAAGAAAAGACAGTTTAATGACGACACGACTTTGTTAAGTTAGTGTGATTGTGTTTTCAACCCATTAACACATGATTGTCGGTTAATGAACAATATGGTACGACTATCACTCATATGACATGTAAGAGGTTGCTTAATAGTAATGTAACAAAAAGTAGAACCTCATAGAGGACACATTTTCGGTAAATCAAATATGGTAACTTTGAACGCTCTTTTAACAGAGGAGAAAAAATTGCTAACTATGCCAGTAGATGGACCGGCCAGTTGGATCATTTCTATTAACTTTAGAAATCCACTTGAGGTAATGATTAGGAATTAACTTTACGAAGCGAGAATGACTCATTCAGCATTTATATGGGTGATTAAACCGTATATTCAGAAATTATCAATAATTGTTTTGAATTTAGCCTATAACATCTGAGTCATGTTTGGACCTCAAAAAAAGACACTAGCAATAAACGGCTTAATTTCTAACACACACATCACCGTTTGGTTTCTCAGACGAACGTTTTGACTAAAGAACATAATATTTTTCAAATGATTTCTGTATGAATTTTACGATTGCAAGTCAAAATATTGACCAATGGCCTAAAAGTACGCTTAACTGCCTAGTATGGAGATCATGGGGAACTTCAATACAGCCTTTGATTAATTAGACTGTGAACTATTTCTAATAACATCTCAAGCTGTTTGATTTATAACAAAAAATGTTAGACAAAATATGATCAAATGAACTTCGTCTTAATAGTTTCTAGTTTAATACTCTAAAAAACTGAGCTGCAAGAACTGCATAATATATACTTCAAGACCCTTGAAATTTTAGGTTACGAGGTTCGACGACATGGATATATAGTACGAAATCAGTACCAGTCACAGGAAAACTCCCTCGACAAGGATGAAATTCATTTACACACCTTGAAAAAGTCAAAGATCGGAATAAAGTGATAGGGTAGGCTAAATGAAGGCCTATGTTCATCACATTTAGACACTGTTGGTCTTATTCGAAAAAGCACCTTAGGGTAACTATTTGTAACACATCACAAGGTATAGAACATCAATAGGCGTGAACGCATATCCCGAATCTTGTTGCGTGTATATGTTTCCCATAAGTTTTAAATAAATGACTACTTTATTAACTAAGATATTTTTTTAAATTGAGGCATGCTGTGATTTTATTTCCACAAACATCAGCACGTAGGATTACTGTCTCACTTTACTTAGATTTCAACAAAATGACAGCAAATAATGTAACCAACTTAACATAGAATTGACAAAAATTGGAACATAGATTTAAATAAATTCGATAATTATATACAGTATATACTGAAGAAAATAACTATACTTAATATGAAATGATTCAAAAGTTCATTTGTCATAGAGCAAAGCTAACTGTTCATCAGTCAAATTAAACCCTTGTCTTATAATACGTTCTTTCTTCTTTTCTAAATTCATTTTTCTTATCATATATTTCGAGTCCATTTTAATGGATGAGTGACGAAGTCGTCTCACGTCTTTGGGATATTCAACTGCTTTTGAATCACCTGCGCTGAAATGTGTAATTCTTGCAGTATTTGTTTTATTTGGCCATCCAAAACCGAGACGATCGCGTTTTAAAACGGTTGCTACAGGAAAGCGTCGACCTGGTCTGGAAGCACCCAAACCACCGTTTTTAATGCAGAAATGTGATTTATACTCGTTAGTTGAAATGCCAGACAGTTCTTTCGATGTCTTCAGTTCTTCATATTCTGGATCGAGGGCAGCATCACGCCAACCTATTCTAGTTAAAAGTTGATAACCTTTATTTGAAGGAGGAATTAACAGCGGCGATGGTTTCGAACTTTTTTCTGACATCTCAGCCATTTGATGACCAATAGATGAAACGTGTTTCTTAAAATCACTAAAAGAGCCACCACATACGGAACATTTATATAAATTTGAATCAGGTGACGAGTATTCCAACTTTTGAGTTACGCACTGTGTAAGTGATTCATAGAAATTTTTTACTTCTTGGCCAGAGAGATTAAGGTCTTTAACTTTTGGAGACGCATCGGTTCTAGTTTCAGGGCGCCTCAGTGTTCCCGACACAGAACTTCGAACAAAAGTCCGGTTAAGCAAGGTTTTATCCACATTCTGAAATATAAGACAATGTACGTTAATTACTATGAATTAGTGCACATATACATTGAATAAAAGTGGAGATATTGACAGAAATTATCTTTATTTAAAAGATGACAGTAGGTTGAGTTGAAATCATGCAGGAAATTTTGGTCCACCGTTACGATAGTTTCCAGATATGTCGGCTGAGCTAAAGTCCATACCAGGGTTTTCTATTTGTAGTCGCTGAATGGTAAGGTTTCGTTCCATTTCATCAAGAACTAGTGGATCCGCCTTCCAGTTATCGGTCATTAAAGAATGCCAACAGGTACCTGGACTAGCTTTGATCAGACACATAACCATCTACAAGATGGAATAAACAATGATAAAATGGGCGTTTAAAATAAGTTTATTCTACTGCAATGAACCGTTGTGAAATATTTCTCTCAAAAAAATAAATGTACTTCATATACCAACACAACAAGAATAAGACTTAAAACTTTCAACAAATAGTGTATTTCAAAGTGAAAACTATCATGTGTCAACTTCAACAAGGTTTACTTCTACTTATCTCTATCATCTGTTCGATTGATAATGAAACCAGAAAAGTTTGAACATAAGGAAGTAAAATACAAATACGGTCATTCAGTACTAAAGTTTGCATTGTTTATCAAAATTTATATATGATATTCTAATAGGCTTTTGTTTTCAGTTGATATATCTTCCAATGATATAAAAAAGTACTGAAAAATTGATGCAGTTCTATAGTGAATAATATACAACAGTACTAGAAAAATACACTAATTTACTTTATCATACTTCAAATAAAGCGGTGAAAAATCAGATCACAACCAGTAATCCAACATTTCTCTACAAGTCGGTTTTATACGTAGAATCCTACTTTATCTAATATGCGTTAATTCTGGTACAAATAGGAAACAAAAAAGGCATGTCCCATACAAATAAGGAAATAGTATTGTGAAGAAATAAAGGGAAGGGAAGTACAATAAAAAAAGATGAGTGATCGAGATTAATGTAGACTAAAAGATATATTTTAGATAACAAGACACTCAAGAAGGACGCTTCAAGCCACTAATTCGCATCATTTCTAGGACACCAACCAAAGTCATGATAAACAGGCAGATGCTAAACATAACGAATTTTATACCAAGGCGCCAAATATAAAATCAAAATCACTACTTCGCCATCCATTTTTGCTGTTATTAAATAAACCAGTGTGGAAGCCACTGGGATCAAGTTCGTAGCACATATACAAAAACACTGAGACCGGTGTTTTGAAGTGGTAATACCAATCGAATTATTGTCACTGTACCTGGACACATTGCCGAACCTCAAATTTACTAACATGATGTTCCCACTCAATGTTAGCAGTCCTTCGGATACAATGAGGATTGAAAACAGAGTCGTCTAACATCTCTACCACTGAGATGCCAGGTTTTACAAACATAAACCAAAAGTACTCTCACTAACACATTGTAAACTTATCCTCTAACACCCAGAATAACATCATGACGGTACGAAAATGGCTTAGACTTATATAAGCCGTTCTACATTTTACTGTACGCTACCATTGTCAAATGAGTAACTGCGGTCGGCATAGCTTCATTATAATCCCACAGCAATGTAGTACAATCCGTATATTCAGGATAGTCTTTCTCCAGGAGATAGATCAGTATCATCACTACTTACTTCCATCAGTACTGCAATCGATGGCGAAGTTGAAGAGTAGTGAAACTGTGAAACCCTGCCTAACCCCATTGGTTGAATGGAACAATGAAGAGAGATGACTATATCACATCGCTGAGGCATTTGTATACAAAGAATTTAAGACACGCATAAACTCGGGCACAGCCTACTTCAACGGATAATCACAGAACACAGTCTCGTTCAACGAATTGAAGGCGCCCCTAGCATTAAGCAACACAATGATTGTTCGTTTGAAATAAATATTGCACTGCTCTAACATTTGGGGGAGTGCTATTTTATGATTAGTTCATCCAAGACAAGAACGAAAACAAGCCAGCTCCTGACGAGTTAGCCGTTTGCGGGTTTTGTATTATTTGTGAAGTATGACAGAAACCAACAGTTTGGACGCCGATGAAAGTAGACTAATACCCCGATAGTTGTCGCACAGATTATCTAGCCTCTTTTCAAAGATGGAGACGATGTTCGTTTCATTTTAGTGTCAGGGCATTCTGTTTCTTGAATTCTTCCAAACAACGCAGTCAGTTCTCTGACCAGAACTTAATTACCATTTTTAAAAGATCCTGGAAGACCATCTGAACCTGATGACTTACGATACTTCGTAATTCGGAGTCCCTCGTTAAGTGCCTCAGTCATCGACGGTCAGGGAGGACAAAACAATTCGATCGACACTGATGGGACAGCATAAATGCTGGACTGTTCGACAAAAAACTCAACCGATCTTTTAAGACGCATTTAAATGTTACTAAATTGTGTATCATTAGCTACACAATTTGCTTCGCTGAAACCTGACTGCCCGCTGTGGGTGGCTAGGATAAGGTAAAACAGCTTTCAGTAGTTGGTAAATACAGCTGCAGCTTTCAGCTCACTAGCACACTCGAACTACCATATTTCTATGTCTTTAGGGAAACTTTGCAAAATAACTCGACATACAATATTCCAGTGTCGGTGTTAATGAAAATTGGTGAATATTAATGCATATATCAACAAGGAGAAAACAAATATCCTCATGAACTAATTAACCACGTTTCCGAACCGATCTACGTAATTAAGAGGCTTCGTCTAATTTCTACACCATTCTTAATGCCTGTTCAAGCTCTTAACAACTACATTCTCAATCTCTTAGTAAAGATAACATCTCTGTGCTTTTGTTTAATATGTGAATGCCCTCAAGAAATTACTGTTATAATTGAGTAGCACGTAACCAATTATCGTTGTAGAAAAATATAGATTTGAGAATTTACAGCTCTAAGAATGAAATTGCCGAAAAGAGATCTTCATGCTAAATCAATAAATTTTGTTTAACTTACGATGTGGGACGACAGTCAACCTTATAGATTTCTGTTAGTTTGTAGGTCCGAAATCTTTTTCATTTTCCTTAAATATAAATCCATATTACGCAACCTCTTGTTTCAAGACTTGTTCGACTTTTACGATAACATGTGTTATGAGGGTAGTTCGGGCGATTTTCCCCACAACGTAAGATTATGTATTGCATTGTATAGTTCAAATAGAGTGATTTAGAATAATAACGGTACTAAATAATTACGGTTAATAAGTTAGGGTTTACTTTGTTGAGTTTGAAATTTCGTTTGGTGTTACAGAAACTTACGTGCTTTTTTTCATGAAGGCTCCAGGTGGATTCACTTGCCTTTATAAGGCTAAATAAGTTACCTGATAACAATGGCTGCTGACCAACAAAACCACAAGTGATTGTACTATTGGTAATTTTACATACGATTTGCTTCACGTCTACGATTTGTCGAAATGGAATTTCGATAAAAACTTCTTGAATTGTTTGCCACCAGCTCCCCCATTCAAATGAGGCACAAATTAATCCAGATTGTCCTTTTAAATGTGTCTGTAGAAAAAAAATCAATTAGTACATTAAATAGTAAATGACAAAAAGATTAACAAACGTTTAGTAGTAGTATGATGAATACGCGCTATGTATAAAATTAATTTGAAAGTTAAGGCAACTCAAAAACCGACTGGATTCTTACGTGCTCGACCGAGTCATACCTACTATGAGTTTTGTAAAAGGGAAAACTCGCTGTACTGAAACACAGGATATCTTGATTTTGACCATAAGAGTTTACTGAAGGCAGATAGCGCATGAATTTCTCATTGCAGTTATATTTCATGAGTATTTTATCAATATTTACAGATGATAATTATGAACAAACTTCAACAATCGTATCCATCAATTTCAGAGTGTTAAATTTTACATTTAGTATAAGGTACTTAACATGCCACTTAGCTGGTTAATTAGTCAAAAATAGACGGATATTTTCATGACAAACAGAAGCCTGATGTAACTGTTAATATGATTGATCGGTGAATACATCAAGAAGCTTATTTTAATCAAGTATCTCCAGTGAAAAGCACAGTTATCTAAATCTGGGAATAAGAAATCGGAATTTAACAGAGATTATCGATCAGTACACTAAAAAATTATATCTTTTAATATGTCTATCAATTCACGTAGTTTTCCGTGAGGACTACATCAACAAGTTTCACATCCGAAATTTTTCTTCATGGAATATTACCGGAATTAAGGATGCGTAGAACACAAAATATCTGAAACAGATGATAAGATAGAAATTTTCAGTAAAAGAATAGTATTTCGTAGGGTTTCCGGCGCTCATCCGACCTTTGGGTAGTAGAAAATCCTGAGAGTTGAATTTGAGCAGAAGCAGTACAGAGCTGTATAGACCTAATGAGAATGCCCAGTGATATGTGACAATTATAAAGTATTTTGGCAGTCGAAATTGTCCGATAATTGTCTAGTTATATAATATCCAACCACATTCAATAAAAACTTTAGAGGTTTTTTAAAACAAGATTGAAAGAGTGCACTGGGAATTAGGAACAATGGTTCACCAGCTAAAACACTCGGCCTTCCAAAAATATGTGGTAAATATGCAAACTGCCTTACTGATTCAAGTTTGAGTAGATTTATCAATCCTCATAAAGTATAATTTTATCCTATTCACAAATATATATAATGCATTAGAGATGCCGACTTCTTCCAAGGTTTCAAAATACCAGGTGCTAACTTGTTGAAATTGATTTTGAATCGTATGTTGAGAAGCGGTTACAACAGGTACGTTTCTTTATTTGAAGACTCAGATGTGATCTATATTCTGAATATTGACCTGGGTGCAGTAAGGTAGCGTTTTCTGATCTCTTGGACTAATAAACTCAGGCCATCACAAGAAATCAAATCAACAGTTAGAATATCACTGAATGGTTAACAACTGAAACCCTCCATGCTAATAGGCATCATCCCTATATTTGTACAAGTG